TCTTCTCTTCTCTTCTCTTCTCTTCTCTTCTCTTCTCTTCTCTTCTCTTCTCTTCTCTTCTCTTCTCTTCTCTCCCCTCCCTCCCTCCCTCTGTCTCTCTCTCTCTGTCTCTGTCTGTCTCTGTCTGTCTCTCTCTCTTTGTCTCTCTCTCTCCTTTGTCTTTTTGATACAGGGGTTCTCTATGCAGTTCAGGTTGGCCTTAGACTCACTATGTAGCCCAGGATGGCCTTGAACTTACAGGGATCCTGCTTCCTCAGCATCCCAAGGGCTGGGATTACAAGTGTGTGCCACTATGCCTGGCCAGCTTCTTATTCTTGACCCAAGGTCTATTTCTGGCCAGCATTTAAACTGCTATCTTCCATCTGTGGCTATACCCCAAATCCCTTGAAGCTTAGGGTCCCCAACTCTAAACTCTTACTACATAGGCCCTGGAATGCCTCTCTGTTCTGCTTGATATTCTTCAGTACTTCTTCCCACTCATGTCCCAGTGCCCATCTAGCCAGGAATCCTGCCTCTGTGACTTGTTCTGACAGGCTTGCTGCAGCTCCGTGGATTGCCAGCCTCATGAAGGGGCACAGTTAGGAATGGTCTCCTGGGAGCCTTGTCTTCCTCAGGAAAGGTTCTGAGGTAGGGCTCTGTCTCCAGCTGGTGACCTTCTTAACCTAGCAACTACCAACTGGGTACAGATGGCACCTGCTTCTGGTGCCAACCCAGGCACCCCCAGGAGAAGTCTGGCCATTGTAGTCATTGCCACCACTGCCACCATACCATCCTACCTACATCCAACACTTGGTAGGATCCCGGCACTGCTCTAGGTGAGGCATAGGCACCTACCCACTGGAGGGCCTGATATGTTCCACATTACTGAGCCAAGGCTCTTGATGACAATGTGGTTTTTTATTGGTACCTGGAATTGAATTCAGGACCTTGAGCTTCCAGGCAGGTGCTGTGCTGCTGAGCTATATCCCCAACCCAAGGATAGTTTTTTGAGTAAAGTGCTGCTTCACCGTGACCTGAAGGAATGTACTCCTAGCTTCCTTCCTCACATTTTTCTACTGCTCCAGAAGTGAGAATTTGTCTAGTTTCTGTCTAAGCAGGCTTACAGTGGGATGGAGATAGGATGGGGGAATTCAGTGTGTATTTCAAATCTTCTCTGGGGAAGTAGAGATTTAGGAAATGGGGCATAAAAAAGTAAACATTGAAGGTTCCCACTGGGTCCTATCCAGGGAGGACTACTTAGATGGTTTCTTCTAAAAGAAGACAATTTGCCTCCATTTTGGTTTGCCTTTGCCCTCCTCCCATGTACTGATATGCACAGATCTGGCTGGGAAGGTGCTCAACTCCCTCGACTGGCTTGGTCTGTGATGCCCCGCATGTAGCTCCCTCTTACTAAGTGTGAGTTAGGCTGAAAGATGCCACACTGTCAGCTGAGATGGAGCTCTGAGAAAGAGGCAGTGATGTCCTAGAGCAATTATAGCCAGACAGCAGAGCTGAAGCAGCCAGCCCAAAGCACAAGATGCTTCCTCACACTATGCTACAGATTCCTCCAAATTTAGAGGCTGCCTGTTGACAGAATCTGGTACTCTTTCTGCAGACCTCTCTCTGTATATTGCACAGGTGCCCTTGTGCCCTCCACCTAGCCCAGCTTGCAGAATTCATATAATTCTCACAGTCACTCTACCCATGTAACTTCCCTCTCCATGAACTGTTAAGACAAGGTTTGGCCCTAGGCCATGGCCTTTGGCCCCCCTTGACTCCCCACAACAGCAGATATGTCTCTGTCTCTGCTTTCTCACTGTGGGTTGCACTGGAAGTGGTAGATTGGAATTTTCTTGCAAGAATTCCATTAACTTTTCCCTGGGATTACAATTAATAAACATTTCCTGACTGTGACGAGGTTCCAGGGCTACTTATACCATCAACATTCACATAAAATAGCAAGTTTGTATGTCCAGACAGCCAGTTGTCCCTGTGACTTCTGACACTCACCCATTGCCTCCTTCTTTTCCAGACCCTAAAAGAGAGAGCATCTCAACCAGAAACAGTAGTTCTCAAACTTGAGCCCAGAGTCCCCGGGATTAAATACAGATTGCCTCTCTACCTCTCTTCCCATCCAGTAGGTCAGGGTGAAGCTGCATTCCTAGTTGAATGCATTAAAAAATGTATTTGGTAAACAGGTTCTACACGGTCTACAGGGTCTCACTACATAGATTGGACTCATAGTGATTCTCCTGCTTTCAGCTTCCCAAGCGCTGAGATTATAGGTGCACATCACCACGCCCATCTCAATCACCCTCTCAGCATGCCCCAGGGCAGAGCCAGCACAGCACACTGGGGATTGAACCCCAGCCACTGCACTCTTCCTAAGCAGGTACTTTAGTCCCCTGAGTTATCTGGCCTGTCCTTGAATGCATTTCTGAGACACACCAGGTGATGCTGAGGGTGCTGGTCTGCAGACCATACTCTGAGAATCGGTCAGTCATAATGTCTGACAGAGCAACAGGGCTCCTTCCCTAGATACCTCTTATCTATTATCCAAGAAAGAGCAGGCAAGGGAAGGAGGGAGAAAATGGTTCTACGTACAAGTCAAATTCAAATATATGACTTGCAAATACTTTCTCCCACTCTGTGGTTTGTCTCTTTACTTTTTTGATGGTATCTTTGAAGTCTGAATATTTTTCAAGTTTGATCAAGTTCAATATTTTGATTTTACTTTTTTTTTGTGTGTGCCTTTGGTCTTGTAGCTAAGAAACTATTCTCTAGTTTAAAATCTGAGGTTTATATTTTGTTTTCTTCTAAAAGTTTCATGGGTTTAGCTCTTTGATTCACTCTTTGATCTAATCTGAATTACTTTTTGTCCATGTATTGTCTTGTCATCCAGTTGCAAATAATTGAGCACACATACAGGGTTTATTTCTGGACTCCCTCTTCTGTTCCACAGACCTGTGTCTGTTCTTATACTTGGCCCATGGCCTCACTCAAACTTTATAGCAAGTTTCAAAGTTGGAACATGTGTGATTCTTCACCCTTCTTTTTCAAGATTGTTTTCACTATTCTAAATCCTCTGTACTTCCATATGAATTTAGAAATTAAGATGCTTAAAATAAGGTAAGTTACATCACCATGAAGTTCACTATTACCAAAATTCAGATATTTTCTTGAATTGATAGAGTATTACAAGGTTTTCCTTAATTTTCAGTATCCTTGAAACATTGATTTTAATTTTTTGTCAATTCCTTTATTATGTTTATGGGGATTTTCTGGGGTGTTAGCCCCATAAAACTAATGACATCATTCCCTTTCACTATCTTTTTAAACCAGTAAGAAAGAAAACAAATGCTTCAAAGATATTAAACCTGTATAAGTAAGAAAAGATAAAGGAAGGCTGAAATCACATGAGGATTAGGAGGAGGCTGTCGTGGGGACAAGGCCATCAGGACACCTCCACAGGCACTCCTGCAATTCTATTAGCAATGAACAAGCAGTACTCCACCTGATCCACAGTTTCAGTTCCCTAAAGTCAATAACAGGCCCAAAATTCTAAAATTCTAGAAATAAATAGTTCATAAGTGTTAAATTTTGTGCCATTTGAAGTAATGTGATAAAATCTCACCCCATCCCTCTCTGTTGCACCAGGGACACAAATCATCCCCCTGTACAGAAGTACTGTGCTGCATATGCGACTTATCTCTGGGTCACTTAGTAGCTCTCCAGGTTTTTAGCCTGAC